GGGGGGGGGGATGCTGGCGCGCCCAGGCTCTCGGAGCGCTGCTCACGAAGGCCGAAGGGTGCGAACGGCGCGAGCGTCGGGGGAGGGTGGGCGCACGGGGTCGTGCGCGCTGTGCCACGCTGTGAAGGGCGCCTGACGGGGCAGGGTCGTGATCAGTGGAGTAAGCCAGCCCCAAGGCCAGCCCTGTGTCATCCGGAGCAGGTGTGAAGAGACAGCCACAGAGCGGCCTGTCGGGACGCGAGGGGTGATGGCTTTAGCCCCTCCTGTTGTCAGGGCCTCGGTCCGCAGGGCTCTGCAGATGGGGGGCAGCACACAGCACTGTACGCTTGCTGCTGCCTAAGAGGAGGTTTTTAGGTTGCACCGTTTCCCAGTACTTTTTTAGAGAAATGTGAAGAAGGAGGGGGAAGGTGGTATGAAAGCCCCTGCTTAGGCAGGGACCAGGGGTTCAATCCCGTGCCCGCCCCTCTCCCGCTCCCAGCGCGTGCTGAGACAGCGATTGAGACCGGACATGGCGGCGCCGCGCCTGTAATCCCAGTGCTTGAGAGGCTGAAAACAGGAGAATTACTAGTCCAATCTGCATAGTGAGACCCTGTACTAAATACATTTAAAACAAAAACAAAAAACAAAGAAGGGGAAGGAGAGATAAAGAAGATGGTGAAAAAGGGAAGGAGGAAGAGTGGAGGGGAGGGCTGGAGCCCAGACTGTCACCTGGCCCTAAGCCAGGGACACCTACCTGTCCATGTAGGCCTGGTGTTAGTCCAGCGCCCTTACAGGAGACCAGATCCCCTCCACCACCCCATGTGATGTCGTGCACCCCTTGCTGCCTTTGGTGAGGACCCTGAGGCTGGTATATCCGGCCCACCCTCCCAGCCACGTTGCCAAGTCACTGAGTCACTGTCCACCCTACCCCACCCTGCCGTCTTCCTCCTCTGAGGCCAGAGCTCTCGAGACGGAGCCCAGTTTGCCCCACCACAAGGCCTCGTTGAGGTGGTCCGAATCGATCTCCCTGGCCCTGCTTTACCAGGGTCCTTGGGCCACGTTTTCTGTAACAGCTTCAAGAAGGAGGTGCCTGGGCCCTGGAAGGGAAGAGTGGAATGAGGGCTAGGGCTGCTCCAGATGGGCAGGGCCAGACCAGCCTGGGTGGGTGTTGGGGGCAAAGGGAGAAGGGGGACTCAGGGCCAGGGACACGCCACATCCATGCCTGTCATCAGGCACCAGGAGGTCAGACCCAGGCGCCGATGGGCCGGTGGCCAAGAAGAGCTGCCCATTCAGTAGGTTTCTTCCCAGCAGCAGGTGTGGGAGAGGGTCACTAGACCCCTCGGCTTGCACGCCTTGTGGGGTGTTAGCTCACCACCTGCACACAGCCTCCCCACCACATTCCTGCAGCACTGCCAGGTGACAACCCGGGCCTTGCCATCCTCACTCCCTACTCCTCCCAGAGGTGCACCTGGAAGGTGCTCCATGGAGTATGGGCACCTTCCCCAGAGGTGATCACTGTCCACTTCTGTGGCCCTGGGCCAGGCCCTCTGGACTGGAACTGCCTCCCCCAGCCAGCTTGTGGCCTTAGCTAGTCAACCTCAGTTTCCTCACTGAGGAACCACAGCCCCCCCAGGGTCATCACAAGAACAGTATGAAAGGCGTGTGGATGCCCCATGGGCTGAAACTGCACACATTTATTGGAGTGAAGTAGTAGGGGGCAGCTGTTTTTGAAAGAAACACACAGGTCTGCTGGGGTTCACTGGGCACAAGGCCAGCCCTCTACAGGTGGGTGGCCCTGGCAATTCCAGACCTGCCCTGAGGCGCAGCCAGTGCCACTCAGTCCTCCTGGTAGGGGACATGGAAGCCGAGGGTGCTCCCCAGGGGAAAGTGTGCAAAGAAGGTGCGGGCCAGGTCCTCCACCTGAGGGTAGGCACCCTGCGTCTGCAGGTACTGCACGTAGTTCCAGAAGTCAGAGGTGGAGAAGGGCCAGTAGGGCATGGCAGGCAGCTCGGCATAGGGGTCTGAAAGACATAGGATGCTGCCTCAGGGGCTGTCCTCACTGTCCTGCTGGGGCTCACCCTCCACAGACTGGGCACAGGTGCATAGCCACCACAGTGTCTATGGTGATGTCACCTTCCTGGCTCAGAGCAGGAGCATCCCAGGAGCGAGAGGCAGCCTGCTGAGAAAGGGAGGGCAGAAAGCATGGGAAGGGGAGAGAGGAAGGTGAGCCTGGCCTTGCTGGAGCAGATGCTACACAAGACGCAGTCCTGTAAGGGAGCAGAGCTCAGGCAGTGTCCTGGTGGGCTTTCCGAGGACAGACCTGGGAATGCTGGACTGAGTTAAGACTCCAGGAATAGCCTGAGACTGAGCCTGGCTGTGGGTGAGGATGTCGGGGATGTCCCTGCCCCTTGATTCCCAGCAGGCACTGCTCAGCCAAGAGCCAGGCCCACCTCCGGGCAACCTCTGCCCCCACCCCTGCCTGGAAGCCCAGTCATTTATAAATAAAAGGGCAGACAGGAGAACTCTTACCATACTCCTGCACTGGCTTGGCCCCTGCAAGAAAAGAGGAGTGCTGTCACCTGGGGCCACACTGGAAGGCCCCCAGACCCTGCTCTGCAGCAGTAAAGGCCAGTGCCACAGGGGCTAGCAGGGCTTTGGCCACACAGTGGCCCCTCACCTGTGAGCAGGCCCAGCAGGAGGCACAGGGCCAGCCCTGGCACCATACAGGACTGCATCTTCCTTGGGCGCAGCACCTTTAGGTCCACCTGCAGCAGAGACCCAGAACTGGCACCACCCAACCTGGCTAGCCTCTTCTGCCTGCCCCGGAAGGTGAACCTCGAAGAGGCAGTGTGCCAGCGGCTTCCATCTGTATCTGAGGGACACCCATGTCCCCACGGCCATACTCACTTCTGATGCCGTAGGAGATTCACACTCGCTGTGCCGTCCACCCTGGGCACAGGCCTCACTCTCCAGAGTGGCTGCCACAGTCACTCAGCCCAGCCGTGCAGGAGAGGGTGTCTCTGCCAGCACTAGGACTGCTCTTTATAGAAGGCCAGGAAGGAAGTGTCACCCGCCTGAGCCATCAGACTGAATATTTCATGCCCAGCCCAAGCCCTGTGGGCTTCTGCCAACCTGCTGGCCCGCAGAGTCACGGGGTCCACTCTGGGAACCTGATCTGAAGATCCAGTTGAGAGAAAAACATCTCCACACAGGCTACAGGCAAGGTCTGAAAGGACTGAATTCAGGGTCAGTGCTTACAATAAACCCAGTTATTCTCCTCCTGGAGAGAATTCCTGAGCCTGACATTGAGGCTGGAAAGGGACCCAGTAACCCCGAGCTGCCTCAGGTGATGAGCAAGCAGGGCCCCCCAGGGAAGCCACTGCAGCTCCGGTCGGGCTGGGCCCACAGGACACCTGCTGAGCAAAGTCACAGGTGAGAAGCATGGGCTGGGATGGACCCTGGCTGCAGACCAGAGCTCCACGGCTCACATGGCTTCCTGAAGGCTGCCATGGGCCAGGGCATGGTTCCGACCCCAGAGGCACCAGCCCGCAGGCCAGGAGGCCCTGCAAGTGACCCCTGCACCTGTGCGGGCCATGCCAGTACCCACCTGACTCTCCACGCAAGTGTGGCCTCGTGACCATGCCTATCCTTGAGGTTCTGAGTGCCACCAACGGCACTGAGTCCAAGGTGGCTGTCCCTGACATCACTCCTGCTTCAAGGCTCCTCAAGGAAACCAGGAGAAGCCTCACACCGGTGTGCTGTGGATCCCACCTGATGAGCAAGCGAGGACCCCTTCTTTCCCACACAGTGCTCTGGGTTCCACCAAAGACCAGGAAAGATGCTGCCTTCGGTTTGCATTATAAGCCACCCACCGCATGAGACTCGGGGGCTCGCTACCAGAAATCTGACCCCAGTGGTTCCCTTAGGAGTGGCTGCTCTGGGGTCCCCACAACCACCTCAGCCCCATGACTCGCAAGGAGAACACACAGCACAGAGCCCACAGCCACGGTTCACCACAACAGAGATCTGCACCAGCCAGGGGCTGGCCGCCGGAGCCTGGAGGAAGCTGCAGGGCCGGGCAGTGGTTCAGCGGCCACCCAATGGCCACGGGCCCGGAGATGGAACGCACCTGTAGTGTTAGAACGTCTCACAACGCGGCACACTCTGTGTCTTGCAACTGTTTTCCTCACAAGAGGCACCAGCAGTGTTCTTGGGGGTTGGCTTTATTTGCCTTTTTCTGGGTGCATTTATTTTCCAAAGTTACTTCTATGCAAGAAAAGAAACGAAGAATCACCCAGCTCCGCCAGCAGCTCCTGTGGGCTCTCACTGCTTGGTCTGCCGAGTGGACCCGAGGACCCTGCCACGATGCACTCTCTCTCCACCTCCTCCCTCTGGCCACTGGCTAGAGGATGCCCCATGGATTCTACTTCTCTGTCCCTCTCTCCTCTGCTGTCCTGCAGCCCTCCCAGAAGGCTCCAGGGCTGAACGTCCTTTCTAGTCAGGGGCTCCCATAGGTCTCAACGTTTTAAGAGTCACTCAGGGTCCTGTCCAAATGCAGGTTCCCATTCAAGGGCCAGGAGCCATGCCTGGGCAGCGAGGCCAGCCAGGGTTATCCCATGGGCTAAGCCAGGAGCACCTAGACGACCTGGTACAACACAGGTCCCTGCTGGCCCCACTTCCAAGGTTCTGATGGGCCCAGGGATGTGCATTTCCAATGCCTCTCCAGGCTTGTGGGGCTCTTTACCCAGTGCACATTTGGACCACCCAGGCACCTTTGAAAAATAATCTGGCTGTTCAGCCTCCTGGGTGGGAGTCTTAACTGGCAGCCCCTGCCCTGGGCGATTAGGAGGTCTCTGGCGCCCCCTGCTGACCATCCCAGGACACCAGGGACAGCTTGCCCCTGTGTCTCTGAGTGGGGCAGCCCGAGCCGGTGACCCTTTGCCTGTCCTGCCCCTCTGCACTCCAGGACACCTGCCGCTGCTCCCAGCACAAGCACAGACACCCCCTTGTGATTTAAAGCCCCAAGGCCACGGGTCCTCGGGAATTCTGTTCCCAGGCACAGTGGTTCCTGCATCCTCCCTTCCTGTCCCTTCTCTGATCACCGGCCCTGGATGTGCAAGTCTGCTGCCCCCATGGCGTGACCCCCATAGAGCCTCGGCTGAAGCTAAGAGAGTCCCTTCCTGCCCCAGACCATGTCCCGCCTCCACCCTGCCCTGCTGGGCTGCGAGTTCCTGCAACCCACTTCATCCTCCTGGCCTCTGAGCTCCACATTCTGGCCTATGTCCTCCACCGCACAGGCACACGGCGCCCCCACCTTGCTGTGTCTCCATCCTCCTGCCTGAGTGTCCCAGGCCCAAGCAGCTCCTGGTCAGCAGGCAAGGCCCAGGATGCGCCTCCTGGATGCACAGTAGGCAGAGTTGGCCAGGGCCAAAGCCCAGCGTCCCCCCAGCTGTCCTATCTGCTGTCCCTGCTGAGCCACAAGTCACACTCAACTCTGACCAGCATGAACTTCTGTCCTCCATGTCCCCCAAGATCCCAGAGAAGTGAACTAGACCCCTTAAGAAGCACTGCCCTGCTTCCTCAAGGGGAGAGACGTCTCCTAATGTCGCCTGTGCTTGTTCTCAGGCCCTCAGGTTCCCACTACATTTTCTATTTTAATCAGATAACTCAAAGGTCATGACATCCAACAAACATGAAGAGTTTTGAATGAAAAGTGATGTGGAAAGACCCACTGAAGGTGAAATTTCCTAAAAATTGTCAAATCAGATGTGGTGTGGCAGCGTTACAGGACAGGAGCTGCAGTGGGAACCTGAAGAACTGGTGGGGCTGCCCCGTGCGAGCCCGGTGTTTTAGGTCCTGGAAACCCAAACTGGACCTCGCACCCCTGCACTACTGAGCTTGGACTCCAGGGGGCGCCACGCTCAAGACCTGCACCGCTGGGTCCCAGTCTTGTTCAGGCCAAGAAATAGCCGGTCAAAGGGAAGCCCCTGGTGGCTTAAGATCTGAAAGCTACCCTGTTTAATTAAGCATATGGTTCTTTTTAAGCAATTTCTTCCTCGTACTGATTGTGAGAATTTTCTAGCAGGTCCCAGACCAATCCAGGAGAGGGCGCTCCTGACACAAGCAGGAACCCGTCCTGGGTGAGCTGAGAGGGCCCAAGGGAGAACTGGAAGATACAGGTGATGATAACTAATTTGAAATTAGATCTGAGCTTGAAGTCACTAATACTATTCTAGTCTGGTTTGCCTCACATACCATCCAAGATATGCTTATGCAAAAATTCAGCTCCTGTTTCACTGGAATTCCACTTTCACTGTATCTTCATTTGCTAAATCTGGCAAAGCTGCACAGGACAGAGCCTTGCAGCCCAGCCTGGCTGTGGCTTGATTCCCAGGCCTGACCACACCCTGAGGCTTCTGCCCAGCCTGGCGGTGAGAAGGGGCCAGCTCCCATGAACACTGAGGCGGCCACTCCCAAGGCACCGGGCAGGCGGCTCCTTTACCCGGTGCTTGCCCCTGGAGCCTCAAAGCCATGCTCTGGCACAAGGCAGGCAGGCTGCCTGGTCAGCGAGCTCGAGGTCTGGTGACAGGACCAGAGGAAGCCTGGTGACGCTCCCAGGGACCCTTGGCTCAACAGGACACATCAGCTCTGACATGAGCCATGGGAGGCCTCCCAACTACATGGCGCTGCCCACCGACATGCTCCTACATCCAGGGCCCTGGGGCCCACCCTTGTTTCTGGAGGTTCTCCAAGGCCCAGAGTCTACTGCTGGCCTCTAGCTGGGAAAGTGTAGAGGAGAGGGCAGCTCGGGAGTGGCCCAGGCCCTGACACACAGGCCCCAGCAGCTGGCAGGGCCCAGCCATCCCAGGACCTGGCTCCGGCACTCTAGGCTGGAGACCCCACTTCCCACTCACCCAGTCATCTAATCTGCTCCACTGAGCCCCAGGTACCTCACCCACCACCATGGGTCCCCACCACCATGGGTCCCCACCACAGGGCCCTGCAGGTGGGCCGTGGGTGGCTGAGACCCCTATGAGCTGGCCTGCTTCTGTGAAGAGCACTCTCCTACCCCAGTGGCCTGACCAAGCACCACAGCACGGTGCCTGCTAGACTCCCACCAGCGTATCCTGGTCCCTTCCTAGGTCACAGGAAGGATGGGCCCTTTCCAAGGCACACCGCTTGCTGGGGTGAGGACCTCCTCTGTTAGCAGAGAAATCTAGGTCGGTTGCAGAGCTGTGCACAGAGGCCTCAGAGGCTTCAGGCAGCAGCGTGGCCTGACTGAGGAGACCCACTGCCTCCAGGCCCTGGGAAGGAGAGGCCTGGCGGGCCACCCAAGCACTTTCCAGGCTCTGACCTTGAGGGTTCTGGGCCAGGCAGCCCTGGGTGGGGACCAAGCACACTTGACAACAGCCAGGTGGGGATGGCAGGGTGGCCCAGGGATCCGGAAGCCTCAGGAGCAGAAGGATCTGGACAGATGGCTGGTGGAGTGCCCTGGGCTGGAGTCTGCAGTCCCAGGACATGGGAGACACAACGCGGGTGCAGGGCAGCAGCTCTGCCCACGCTGTGGGGCAGTGGGGCAGGTTCAGCCTGGCCCATGGCACCTGTGGGTACCTATCCGGGTCTGAGTCCCCACCAGCCTCCTGAGCCCTGGACAGGACCAGCCTTCCAGAGCCATCACTTTAGACTCTAACTGCAAGAGGAGACCCAGGCTGGGCCAGCTCCTGGGCCTGAAATAGACCCATTGTTTACCTATCCACTGCCGCAAAAAGAAGCCAAATTTATGGGAACGGAGCTCAGCGTGTTTCCCAGCCTGGCCGAGGCAGTGGGCAGTGTGGCTGTCTTCACCCTGCATCTTCAATGATCTCTGCTGGGAGCTGGCTACAGCCTCGATAACGTCCCAATAGGCCACTCACTGGCCCCTGACTTTCTGGCTGTCCCCTCCCTGGTGTTTGGCGGAAAGGGTGAGATGAAAGAGAAAGAGAGCTTACGCCTCTCACTCTGCGCCAGTTGTCCTAGATTCTGGGTCCATTGATCCATCCAGGAAGCGGGTACTAAGTGCCTGAGCAT